AACCAACCAGCACACCACGAAAGCCGGCACAGAGCTCCACAATAAGTATATAAAGAGAACCAACTCGAGACGGCACTCGTACTTTTCATTTGCTTCGCTAATCCAGAAGAACAAAGAAACTACTTTTCATACAAAATTTCATTTGGACGGATATTTCATAATTACACAGTATCATTAAAATAAAAGCTCCTCTGTTAGATTAAACCATTTAAATGAATAAAAATTGTTCGCTTTTGTGCAGTCTCAAGTATGTACTGTACATTTGCATAAAATGACCCCATGATTAGCCAGAATTATTCACTAGATGAACAACTATTGTCACACCATGATTTTTCGAGACGACGTCTACTCGTATTCCATTCTGACAGAGGCCTTTCTCCGTTTCGTCAGTGATCGCAATCCCGCACTGTACACAAACACCGTGGTCCGGTTCAGAAAGCCGGCAACAAAGCTAGTTAAGTCAGCATAAACGTATCCCGGCAAGAGGTGGTAGTCGAAGTCGTCAATATGATTGAGTCCAACTGCAACACCCAGTCTCAGGCAGCTGGGATGACCATCAAGGGAACGCATCACATTTATTTGCGCGAAACCGTGCAGTGCGGAGACGGTGTAGGGTCAATCATCGATGAACAGAAAGATAATAAATTACTCATCACTGCCCGAATTCGTTAATTAATCGGCGTTAATTCGTTAATTAATCGTTCGGCGAAATGTGTAAGTAGTATTCCCGCCCTGTACCTTGAGTCGGTCCGGAAGTAAAGTACAGTTTTGTAACTGTAAACTGCGTAGTACGTACACTACTACAGCTAACTACTGTTGTAGTTTTTCACAAGCGATGCCTATCCTAGTAATTGTTATTTGCCTAGTTTGTATGTTTTATCGAGGGCAACCGAACTGCTCTTTATACTCGCATGCGTACTCGTTCAGCCGGCTCGCGACCGGCGAGGTAGTTTTTGTTTTTAATTGCACAATAAGTGCGTCAAACGGTAAACTAAATGGTAAATTTAAATTAAAATATTGTGGGCGTTGCCAAACATTTTATAATGCGGATTGCGAAAGGTTTCAGTCAGCCGAGCTTACTGAGCGAAAGGTTTCAGTCAGGGCACATATGCCGGCTCCAAATTCAGAAAATTCTCGCTTTGGTAGATAGACAGCATCTACTTACGTAATATTATATTTTAAAAAATTGTTTTCACACAGAAAGCAGAAACACTGAAACAGTATTCCTTACACGGAACGTAACGCCTAGATGCTGAATATCATCGCATCACTCGCATGGTTTCGGTGACTGAGCAAAATTGATTTATCGTGCGTTGCAATCTTATTTTTTTAAAAATTTAATTCAGCCTGATTGACAGTTTAGTATGTAGAGGGTCACATCATGGATCAGTAGATGCTAAATATCAAACATCCTAGCAATTCGACAATCATAATACGTTAAACCGTCAAGAACAATGAGCCAAAAAGGTTCATGAAAACTGTTTCACGCTTTTCAGCATATGTACTGTACGAGTACAATACTTATTTTAGCCGGTGTAACGTCGGAGTTTCTGCGTGTCTTGCCCGACGGGATCTGGGGCGAGTATTACCCCAAAGCGTGGAGATTTTGAGTTTTATGCTGATATTGTTTTGTCTAATTGCCTTTAGTATTCGGTAGATTTACGAATGTTACACGTTGTCTTTGTCATGCTATCATCGTACTTCACTCACTACGTAGTACTACGCACTTGTAGTTGGCTGCTCAGTCTGTATCCATTGAATTCAATGGAGTGTTTTGACGATGAGTATTATTCTTGCACCACACCTAGAAGCCACAGCGGCAAATTACGAACATGAATTATTTATTTTTTGCTGAAACTTATTTTTCTTTCTATTTTAGCCGCTTATTGTAGAAATTGTCACAGAATACAAATAAGTCTCCGCTTTCCTTTCCTTCGTTTGGATTTATTCGAAGTGTTTGCCATTTGACAGACAAGGTAATAACGGACAAATATTTCAAAATTCTTACAAGAAACCCGCGTAAATTAATAAAATCCTGTGATGTTTAATGAGTAACGGATTTCACAAACTATTTAAATAAGGCCAGCACCACTTCTCACAATCTCATAATAAGTTAACACCTGAAATTTCTTTCAAAAACTGTTTAAAGACTTTGCGCAGTGTATCAGAGTCCATTTCCGTCCAGTCAGTTAGCTCAGCTAACCGCCCGCTGTCTTTGTGAAAGCTGAACAACTTAGCTCCCGTTCCGAGGACAGCGCTAGCCATACCGATCACCTGCTCTCCAATTAAATGAGCGTTCCTTGCAAGAATACTTACACTGTTCCTTCAACTGGTCCAGCAGTTTCGTCAAGCCGCCATTGCAGTGCTTGACCTCGACAATGGCTGCCACGGTCCGTTTTCCGGTGAGCAGCTCCAATGTGCAGTCCGGGACTTTGTACCCCGGTCGCATCTTCATACCCTCTGGTGTCAGTCTGCTTTGCGGACACACGCAGATCGGAGGAGCTGAATTGAGGTACAGCCAGAGGTTGACATAACCATAGTGTGGGAATTCCCACGTAGGTTTGGTCAGCAGCAGTCGTTCGTACCAGGACTGCTCGTGTTTGATGTACTGCGCCCAACAGTCCGCTTCGGGAGCAGGCGCGCGGTTGTGCAGCAGTCTTCGTCTGGCGGCAGTGGCCTTCCAAAGGTGACCAGTCAGCGGAGAACTAGACCAGCGTCGGGGGAGAATTACACCGCACCCTGGCATTTGGACCTGTTTCAAAGACAACATATGTTCAACATTCGAGCCGGATCATTCAATCCGCCGATAATTTATTTGGGCGACAGCATCTTGTGCAATTAAGTGTAGCTACGCACAAGTTTTTCAGTGCTATTAAAATTAATAATAAATTATTACGTTTTGTTTTTATTATATACTGATCTATTGAATTACTACATATTTGATTTGTAATATGTCATGACAGCCAAGAATGATAAGAAACATCGGACTGGCTTTATAGACGGTAGAAATTGTGCTGATCGGTACTTTTCGTTTTACCGGTTCCGAAAAAGGCCAGACCTCTGCATAATCATAATGTTACTTCGGTTTAATTTTTCTGCGCTATAAAAAGCAATGCTCTTTTGAATGAAGCTGACACGAAATCAATCAAACGTTCGACGGATGCAGCAAACCTGATAAAGCAGACCGTTATCTACATTATTAGTGCAGCCAACCAGTAATAGCGCTTCGACAATACCCTGTACATAATGCTTGTATAATGCATGTACTTGGACAATGCACGCAGTGGCGATAATTAGCCACCCACTCCCCAGCCGCTACAGCCATGGAATCCGTCCAAGTTACAGGTCACGAAAATCAACCGGCAGTTCCGGAAGCAGTACCGGAAACCCCCGTATCCCAGTCGGCGGAGCCATGCAGCTGTTGTTGGACTGACTGATTTGGTGATGACGCCTTCCTTCGGATGGCCGACCACGTGGGTTACTTGTACCAGCACTGTCCGGCAGGTAGAACTCTACATGTAGCGAAATCCCGTTAGCTGGTTGCGCCGACTGAGGGTAAGCTGGTTTCCGGTTCTGTTTCTGGAACTGCCGGTTGATTTCTTGCGTTGCTAGTTGAACCGATTTCTTGGCTATGAAAATTTCTACGCCTAAGCGGCTCCGATAATACTCGTACATCCTTTATACTGTAACAAATAATTGACAACAGCCCCCGATTTAACAACAGTTGCAAGCGAGTACACGCTACTACTCGATTACATCCTTTATTGTGTAAAGGTGAATTTCCTATCATTCTTGGCTTTCATGACAAGGCAAAAATGAAGTATGTAGTAATTCAAGTAAATTCGTATATGAGTAAGAAAAAAATGAAGTAGATGCTGCGTACACGGGAAAGCGCAGGCGTCGCCTGCGTGCATCACTGCATAGGATTAGCGAACGGATTTTGGCTGAATACACGGCTACGTTCTTTCGTTTTCGTTTTCAAGCACGTAAAATTTCTTCAAAACTTATTTTTAAACCGGTTTTGGGTTATCATATTGCGGCAGAAACGGAACGCCTAACGGTCCTCAAAAAAAATTATTAGATGACAGACAAGCGGGATGGATGTACCAAACGGTCAGAGAACGGTGCCAAAAACAGAAGGGCGTCGAATACGGTGTCTCTTGGCAATCGCAATGGCCACTACATGTGCATATGGGCTTCCTCCGGGAACGGCAACGTTCGAACCGGAAATGATGCAAGGTCATCGGAAGGCCGCTTTCGAAGCCATGAACATCATACCACTCACTTCTGCAGGTACTACTACCGGTCGGTTCGGCAGAAGCTTGACCGAAGACATGAATTAATTTTATACCAAGACATGACATACCACAAACGAAAATGCCGGTGCGCAGCGATAAGGTACGAAAACATACAGTACTCGTAGTTGCCGGTATGAGATATGACAAGACGGATAATCGTGCTAGGCTAAACGGTTGACCTTTCGGCTGACAGCCAACAAATGGGCTTCCTCAAAGTGGTTGGAAGTCTCAGCCGGCAAGAGCGGCTGATACAGTATGTCTCAAAAACGCGAAAAAATCAACCGTTGTTGAATTAAATCCGAAAAAGGCTAATGAAGTTACATGGAATTTAAAATGCAAAATAAATATTCAATAAGAATTTCAATTAAATGTAAAATTACGTGCACGCGGCCAACACCCTTGGCGACTTCCGATGCACGCAGCCGGAACGTACCCGTGCAAACTGGAAAAGGTTACCCGTGCACGTAGCCCAAAGCTCGTGTTTACCATGCAGGCTTGTACGCGGCCGTAATGTAAAAATAAAGTACTGCATATGAAGTAATTGAATATTACTTTTAATGAGGCTGGAAAACTCTCGCACACAGCCAAACTTATAGTGCTAACACATAACCTTTTATGTAAAAAATTATGGAACGAGAACATGATCATGACAGCTGGTGTCATAGCGCATAATTAAGTTAAACCGACTGCACGCTAAGCATCTCGTGCGTGCAAAAACACAAGGGCAGGGACCTGAAACAGGGTATCTATCGTCTTCAAATCTGCTTCATACTTATTAGGTATCCCTTAAATTGTTGGTCTACTCGATAGCCTAAACGTCGTTTTGCCAAAACAAATCTGAATTTATCTGTACTGACTGTACATACCTCAACTGGACGCGGCATCGTGATGGGACCTCGTAAATGTGGCAGTCTGATCTTGTGGTCGTTTATATCTGCAAACATATGTTGCATCACATAGTTGTATGCTCGGTGATACTATAATGCCAGTTTCCATAATTCACAAACAGAAATCAGAAAGTAGAAATCGCACTCACTTCGGACCAAGCTTCCTTTCAAATTCTCCAGACATTATGCCAGCTGTACTAGCACGAAGATTCTCGCATGGTTCGGTCGCCCTACACAAATCTTGAGTTAGTCGTATAATTATACGTGTAATTATATTAAAATTAAAACCGCCGCGTAAAATACGAAATGATCTTACGCATTTTTAGCGATAGTTCAACTCGGACGACAACTTCCGAAAAGCAACGCTAAAAAATCTCAGGTATGGTGTTAGAAATTCCAAATTTGTACAGTCAACGCCGCTGTTATAATTACGAATACAAGGATATGTCACACAGTTACGCTTAACGAACCTACCAATCGCACCAAGAACAGTATAAGGGTTTTTACAATGTTTCACTTGCAAATTGCAATTAGTGAAGCTTACCTGCTGATGCCGTTCATCTTTGCGCTTCAGGATGAGAGAGATCCCAACTAAGTATCAAAGGGCAGCGCCTGCGGAATGCGTGTGGCGTGAGTACTTACTTCGAATTCAATTCCGGTAAGTCGAATAGGCTTTAACGGAACTTGGTCGACAGACCGACCGTTGGCAAACTTGTTGTAAAAATCAGCATAATTATTCCAAGAATCGGTAATAATAATATAACATTAAAAATAGTAATAATAACAATCAACAATGTTATTATCAGAAATGAAGTAAATAACCAGTGTGGGCACGAAACAGATAGAAGTACTGAAACTGACTGTGAGATGAAATCACCGCAACTGCACCGCACAATGCGAGGTAAAATGCAAAAAACGGGGAAGTGGAAATCTGTTTAGTCTGTCGCGACTGGCGAGCGCACCGGACTAAAATTTCCCCCTTGACTTTATCTTGGTGGTCTCAAGAGTTGCCGCCCTGCAATGCTTTGGTCAGCACTTTATAAGTTGCTTATCGCCTCTGGTCTGTCTATGTTCTGTATTGCAAGTGTGATTACGACGTAGACCGTAGACGAGACAGTCCGTTACTATTAGTTTTATTCTTAGTCCGCCCATGTAAACGACTGAAGCAGCGCTTACAGTATAATATGATAACTTAATTAATGAAAGGAAGTTTAAACAATACCAATCAGGCAGTCACTACATAGATATAGATGGCAATGTTTGCAACGCAGATCACAAAGGTCACTGAAATATAACATACAAGAAACAGCCTCGGCTTCGCCTCCGCGTTTCTTGTGGTCAACGGCCACTTTATCAAGCGGGCGAGCGAAGCGAGCCCGCGTTTCTAATTCAAGACATGTTGAGGGTTCGATGAAACGAAGTGGCAGTGACCTTTGGGTCGCCGAGTGACCTTTGGGTCGCCACCGATTTTCATCGTGATTCCTATACAGTTTGATGTGCTGAGTCGAACTGAAGTACTCGGGGACCTCGAACCCGGGTCCCCGAGGTCGCCACCACGATATGTACTACAAATGTACAGTTTGATGTGCTGAGTCGAACTAAAGTACTCGGGGACCTCGAACCCGGGTCCCCAAGGTCGCCACCACGATATGTACTACAAATGTACAGTCTGATGTGCTGAGTCGAACTAAAGTACTCGGGGACCTCGAACCCGGGTCCCCGAGGTCGCCACCACGATATGTACTACAAATGTACAGTTTGATGTGCTGAGTCGAACTAAAGTACTCGGGGACCTCGAACCCGGGTCCCCGAGGTCGCCACCACGATATGTACTACAAATGTACAGTCTGATGTGCTGCATCGATCTTAAGTAATCATTCGAAATAATTCTAAATAATTCTAAATAATTCTAAATCATTCTAAATAATTCTAAATAATTCTAAATAATTTTAGATAATTCTAAATAATTCTAAAATTCCAAATAATTCTAAATAGGTAATAATTCTGAGTATTCCTAAACATTATTAAATAATGTGAAAAAGCTCTAGATATTTTTTCGTTATTTACCTGTAAGAAATTCAATTACATATTTGGATATTCAGCATTAAGGTTCATTAACTGAATCTTAAGTACCTCTGAAAAATTAAAAAGCCAATCGTACATATCTATTTACTTAAAACTTAAATTCTCCCCTAGAAAAGTTTAAAAACTACAAGTCTATAAGCTTTCCGTTTTGAAATATTTATATCGTTAAATCAGTTAAAAAACCTAAATAATAAGATAACTGAATAGCCGGATAACTAAATCGTGAAAATCTTAAGCAGCAAGCTACGGGAATAATAAATTTGCTCAATTTTCAGGTCTCTGATTGGGAGAATATCGGACGTTAGAATACCTTAGGTAAATATACATCTAAAGCCTCATCTTCAAAGAAACTGATAGTTGCCTTTGAAATTTAATGAAGAAAAACTGGTTACCCACATTTCGTGTGCCGCTGTAAAATGCGAAATTCAAATGTACCGAAACTTTTGCTCGTTAAAGCACAAAAATTTTATGAAATTCCAAAATTAATAACAAAGTTTTCTAATTCAAATTCCATAATTATGTAATATTTATGAATTTTTATACGGAAACCAAATCATGGCTTTCAACGAATGAACCATCTCTGAAATTGATTTCTTAATCGTTTTTACTCACGGTTAAATTCTAAGGTACTATGAAAGAAATAAATTTAAGCGCCATGCTTTTTCAAATCAAGTTTTTAATCTGATGACTTTTTGAAATTTGTTTTTGCTGATTCGTACAGTCGGTTTTTAAATGCACAGTCAATTGTTCATTCAATAAGTGTACAATCAAATCTGAATCTCTATTATTTTTGTAATTTTTGTATATGAGTCATCACCAATTTTTAGAATTCGCAATAAAATTTTCCATGCATCGCTTTTAGATACAGGGGTGCTTCGCCAAGTTGGGACACTTTTTTCCAGAAGTTGCCACAAGCCAACCGTCAACAAATGAATAATTATTTAATTTTTACTTAGCTGTCCAATGTCACCAGCATCTTTTCCACTACAGTATTCTACGCTAAGGGCGTGTTTCGTGTTCCAGTGAGGTGAAAACTAGAGCTGACATGCATAAAAATTGTGGTTAACCTGTGGACAGGGACAGCCTTCCTATTATGCGAAATTTTTTTAACCTTTCATTTGAGGCTGTAGTCTAATGGTGATAAGACAAGTGATAGTTTTTTTTGTCATTCTTTCCTCTTTTGAATCATGCCTAACATGCATGAATTGCAGTCAAGTCAGCGTGACCTTTTCAGTTAGACTGCGAGCACTGTCAAAGTGGAGGGCGACCTCCTCTTTGAACTCTCTAAACAGTCGCGGAATGCCACAGACAACCACTCCTGATAAGATTTTTTTTGCCACATACCTTCTTCGGCCGTCAGCTTAAACCCTGATCGCTCAAGGTTTTATGGCTAACTGATAGCGAACACCATTTTTTACACTTAAAGGTTCCCAAACAAGTTTACGAATCATATATCGGTTGGGAAATACTTTATAGAGTGAGTTATAAGCATACACAGAATGACCACTACCCCATCCCCTGAATAAATGCTCGGCTCCCTACTGGTGCTTCAAAAGATTGCGGTTTCTGTATTTCTAGATTTGCAATAAACAGTTACGCTAGAAAAGTGCAAAACCAAAAGCAATGCTACGTGTTAAATTGTTTTGTAGTTTATTTTACGCAACTGCCCAACTTTGCGTAGCAGTAGCACCCCTGTATGATTCCAAACTGATTAAGTTCTAATTAATTTATCAAATACTTTTCCTAATGTTGCAGTAGCGGTAAATCCGAACACCACTTTCGATTAAATTTTTAATTGTTACCGCAAATCTTTGCTCCTCGAAAACCCATATTACATTTTGAATTCATTTTTAACATGCATCTTTATTTGCTTTCGACAATGCAGCAGAAAAACGAACTCTTGCAAAAACAGCTCTGGATATTTGAAACGTTGAATTCTCCTTAAAATCTATTTCGACAGTTTTTTTCTAATCTGCAGATGACACGTAAGCATGAACACCTTTTGGGCTTAAAAACTTACCGCAACATTAATTGGGGAGATTTCACACGAAAGTGTGCTATTTTTTCTTGGAATAAAACGATTTCTTGGAATAAAACGCATTAATAGTGTCATGTACCCTTAAACTCATATATCAATTTCCAAGGCCAATTCTGCAGCTTCAGCGCTTACCTGTTTACAAGACTGTACTTTATATATTCGCTGCCTTATACACTCAAAATTAAAACCGCCGCCCGCTTGCCCTAAGGGCGTATGAGACCTTATACTAGTTTAGTTTTCAATGAATATTTATTAAAATAACATATTTCGTCCAAGCATAACCGGTACATCGTATTAGCGCAAAAAACGGATTTTATATAAAACACGGATTTGATTTTTATACGAGTATGATTTTTTTAATCAGTTCATGATTCTTTCAAATCCCCATAAATTCTCACAACTGAATCCATGATTCTGTGAACCTTAACCTGATCAATCTGGGTAGTGGAAGCTCGGTCACTGGTTCTGCATGTGACGAATCTGTGCAATGGACAGAACTGTCACCCGTTTGCCTAACGGGTCTCGTACACTGGACAGTACCGTTAGATCGGTCATTCGTTCCCCTAACGGGCTCTGTGCATAAAATAGTAGCGGTAGCAAGGTCACCGGCTAGCTCGTTTGCCTAACGGGCCGACAGTACCGGTAGCTCGGTCACCTGCTTACCTAACGGGTCCCGTACATTTGACGTAGCGTACCAGTAGCTTGGCCATTCGTCCGCCTAGAATTATGTATGGCGAGAGGCACTGGACAGTACCCGCAGCTCGGTCACCCGCTCACTTATCCGTTCCCATACACTGGACAATACCGGTGGCTTGGTCACTCGTTTACCTCCCAACCCTCACAGCTCGGCCCCGTTCACTGCACAGTGCCGGTAGCTTGGTCACTCGGTTCGCTTAACGAGCTCTGTGCACTGGACAGTACCGGTAGCTTGGTCATCCTCTCACCTAACGGGCCCCGTACATTGGGCAGTACCGGTAGCTTGGTCTCTTGATCGGCCGGCACTCGTGCAGAAATTTTCATCGATGACAACGTTACATACATACTCGTTGTCGTTCTTGTCGTAATAACGATCTGCTAATTAAAAGATTCTGATAATTTAAATAGTAGGAATGACGTTCATTTTCTAGCTATATTTTAGTTGGTTTACGTGGCAGCATTGCCTGGTTAAAAATACCCCGATAATACTTATTACTACAATAATTTAGTTGCATTTGGTGAAGGTAGTCAAAACTCTTCCCCTTTGGCGTTCCAAGCGGGAGAGGTTCTGAAAGAAATGAATACTATCTGGCCCGGTTTTTGACTACGGGCTTTCAGAATATAATATTGGTTTGGGTCAGTCATTTCTGGTTTGCCGGCTCTGGTGTATCCCATTCGTGGCCATATAGATCTGAATCAGGATAGGTTTTTAATTAGCCATTCCTCCACCTTTCTGTAAGATAGTTCGAAATTGTTCATAAACGAAATTTAATTTCTCTTCGTGTTCTTTAGTGGGATTGTCTTAACTGGGCAGCCCATTAGCAGCATATGTGTGATTGCGCGTAAAACCGATTGCGGGATGTCCAAAATCTTCCGGAAGTACCGTATTGTGGAGCGAACTTGGCAGTTGGCATCTTTCCGTACAGTGAGTTATACGTTAATCGGATAGTGTTGTTATGCAGAGTGTATTGTAATAATATATCTGTACATCCACGGTTTACTCATAATTAAATCACAGAAGGTATTTTTATTTTCTCAAACATTTCTAGAAATATTCAAGTATAAAACGGTTCCTTGGCAAAAAATTTGAGCATCTTTCTAATTCCATCGGAAAATGCACTTGCAACACCAAATTATGGTACTTTTTAAAACAACTAAAACGACTGAAACAGCAGTTCAGAACGGTACAAAAACAATCTCCAACCCGATACAACCTCCACGCATATCTATACACAAAAATAAACAGTATAGATATTGTCGAGAAAAAAACATCAATGTGTATGTACACTGTAAAAACGGAGTTAATTTAATTTACTGTCACATTCTCTTGAGCAAAGTAGCGGTCATATCACCCGCGAGAGTGTGCCCAAATAACAGTCTAACCATCCAAAACGGAAAGGCGAACTCCAGATTAACTTTAATAATCAACGCAGCAACGACGACGGGAATGATGCTCCGTTCCTCACAAAATTCACGCTAGATTCAAGTCGGAAATGATATCGGGGGTGTGCGTGGATGTCACTGCTATCACCAGTGGAAAATCCGACATCTCCAATCTAAATAAAACAAAATAGTACGAACTAAAGGTCATCCGGTTTTATTGACTGGCAGCTACGTCCACAAAAAAAGTGGGATTATTTCAAGAAAACATGCGTCACAAAAACTTAGAATAAAGTGGAATGTTTTCTTTGTGAAAAATTCTAAGCGAAATTTTTAAATTTATTCACCACACTTGAAATAAAAAACAAAACTTCGCAACTTACCCTAGCAGATCCAACGTCTCTTTCGTATCAATCGTTATTTGGTGCTGTCTGAAGGTAACCATGGCGCAACTGGCACGTACAACTCCTGCAGCCTGTCTTCGATCCAAATGCATCAGGCACTGTGAAGCAAAAAACAATAAATTGTGGCAACTCAAAAAATTACTTTCTTCAAAACACACTCTGCAACGCAGACAACTGTGACTCAAATTACGGTTACTATATGACTCACAAACTCGGGCGTTGTCTTCATTTTAGACAGGCTGACCGTGGTTTTGCATAAGGTACTGTATATAGCTGGAAGCCGCGCAGTCTTCGATGTGCGGTCGTATGGAATTTGGCTTCACCGGAACAGTCACACCACAGGGAAGCTCCCGCCGGCCGCAGCTAATCACCTTTACTGTGAAATTATCCAAATCCGCTATGATCGCGGATGCTTCCGCGATCATAGCGATGGCTCATCCGTCAAGCAATACTGCAAATAAACCGACTGATTCCGACTGACCAGAATGGTTTTGGTTAGACGAGCTGGTCTATCACAAATGCCCAGGAGATCTCTGTGAAGAAAGCCATGCACACTGGAAAAAATTCATTCGGGACAAAAATATCAATCATACCCTAACTTTGCCCATAACGGATTGTAGGGATGAGATTTGGCTAGCAGCTGGATCCACTGTGGTTCATGCTTTAGTTTGTAATGAGACGTTTGGGAATTGGATGGAATCACTGTTGATACCCATCCCAAATGGTCAGCCCAAACAGTCGTTATTAACCGCGAGAGATAGCTACACAAAAAAGATAATGCGATTAATGCTCAATCACAGCAAAAACTGGAAATATTAAGAAATCGTAAACTATTCAACCGGCAAATGAAATTAAATGTAAGTCAAACTAGTTAACAAACACAGAAAAATCTTAGGGTATTCAGCCAGTAAATAAAACTAAATATAGATACATATGAGTCAAGATAGGGCGATCAGCGCCGATGTGATGGAGTATGTAGCAGCAGAACATAAATTCCTGCTTAGATTAAGGTCGAATCCAAATGCAACAGAAAGATATATCTGGATAATCTGGTTGTCTAAATGCATTTCTCTAATAATATAATGAAATGTGGTTTAAGTTGATTCTTTCGCAGCAGTGCATAGGGATTACGTACACACACAGTCACACAGTAATACGAATCTTTAATCCAAACATCAACAACTCAAGAGAAACTATGGTAGCGGTACGCTTTCCGCGAATTGCTACTCTAGCAGTGTACATCAGCGATGAGAAAGATCATATCAACCGAGATTATAAGACCACAAAGTATGCACCACGGAATCCATCACAAAGCACAAAGGTGCGTGGCCAGCTGCTCGAGCACCTCCTCGGCTGCCGGCTCTCGGATATCCGTCAACTCACAACGACGAATGGGCGTCTGGCCAAGACGCGCAACTCCCCAGTAGAACGCTGGCCCACGGAACGCTACAAATGTGGTTTCCTCTTTAATACAACGTACTTCATGCAGATGCTGAATCCCTTCCATGACATTTTCCTCCATTTTCACGAATGTTTCCTGGGCGTGATCGGAGTCACCAATGATAATCAGAGCGATGTTCATGCTACCCGTCGGCGATGCTTTCCAAACCATGTGAAACGGACGTGCCAAGTTTGGTATTTCCTCGCAAATTCCTTTACCCCAGTATTCGTGACTGTAGAAGCCAGCATCCATACGCACTATGCTCTCCCCCACTTGTCCCCAGGCTTTAAACCAGTCGCGTTGGTGGTCCGTGTTAATGGCAATGTCCAGTCTAATTCGTGCGGTCCCCGTCAGCAGACCCTTTTCCCTGAAGGAGAGCAATTTTACAGACTTAATACCGTATCCAACAAAGAAGGACATTTGCTGCGCAACTCACCCCGCTCGAACGCGCGCCAGCCTCTCATCCATCAACTTTTGGACTCCTTTGATGAAAAACCCACCACCGACTGAGTTCTACGATGAAATAACAATGACGAAATCAAATGCAGTTGAAAATACCTAAATTACACTCATTTTCAATTTTTTAAAACAATGTTGCACGAAGTCGAACGAAAAGGTACATCAGAGAACACCCAAAAAACCTTACTTATTGTTAGTCATTGTTTGCTTGTTTGCAGTTACGCGTAGAACTGTAGCTGTAGAAGTACAAATACTCACACCGCTATTTACGCATGGTGCGAGCCGAATGGTTGGCGTCGGAAAGCGGATAACACGAGATTCCCTGCAACGTACAGTTAGTTTTAACTGCAGCAGACTTGCCACCTGGATGGTTTACCGAGCTGAATCCGAATCCCGACATAATGTCTACCATGTCTAATTACACTGACATACGCCACCGCTAAGTTAAGTAAGCAGCCAGATTTCACTTCTAAATTGTAAGTTCCAACAGTGTGCCGTAGATATGTATCACGAACCCCGTAGGCACGTAAAGCAAATACTGATATTAAAACTGTCGGTAACTTTTCAATAGTACGAGTATGTATCTGTACGGTTATGTGAGCTGTTCAGTTTAAGTGCTGTACTTCATTCCTGCCAACGGCGTTTCAGCGTTCGGAACGGACAAACCGCTCCCCGGCATAAATGATGGCGGAGTTGGCGCAATTTTTCCGGGAACGACTTGAGACACTGTGCGGATGCTCTTACGATGCAATGATGCCAGTTCCGCGGGCTGCCTACGCGTCTTCACTCCACGCAGCCACTGACAATGGCCAGGTGTTATCCGTCGATCACCACCTTGCCGCTCCATCAGCAAAAATCTACGAATAACGAGCATATCAGTTGGCAACTGGCAGATATAACCAAGTGCGAAGCTATGATACTCTAGAATACCGTAAACTGAAAAGCACACACTAACCTACTAAGCGCTCGCTTCAGCATTGTTTATCCCCTTGAAAAAAGATGGCAGTTAAACATTAATGATTAAAAGCAAAAACTGAAACAGGTTGGTTGTATCGCCAGCAGCCTCCGTCGCGAAATTAAATGGCGTGGAATCAGGAACCCAGAACTTTTGTGAGGACAGATGCTGCTGCAAAAATTAATAAGCAGTTTGCTGTTTTCGGTAGGAGTGACTTATACAGTTTTGAAAATGGAAAGCCGTACGTTACATTTTGGCCTTGCATGCCACACTGCTGTCACACGCTAGATCTAGAAGCTAACTTTGATAGTTGGATAACTTGAAACACATGCAGAGTAGAATTCGGATATTATTATATTAATATATATTAATATTATATAATATTATATATTATATATATATTATATTATTATTAATATTATATATTTACAAGTTCTTCAGTATTTATTATATATATATTATATTATTATTAATATTATATATTTACAAGCTCTTCAGTATTTATTAAAAATAAAATAAATACATGTTTATTAGATTTCGAGGTTAGTGAATGCCCAAGCTACCACCAGTATCACAGAGCAGCCACGTGAGTGAATACGGTAAACGGGCCGCGGGCCGGCTTTTAGATATTTACCGTTAGAAATTATGGGATATTAAGATAATTAATATATTTAGAGATTTGGCCCGGTACATATCTGTAGTACCAAATTCGGGTACATGCACGGGAAATTTCGCTGTCGCGCAATGCTAAACACTTTTTTGCATGGCTAGGTATGCACCTAGGGTAATATTCATAACGGCTCTCATACTCATAATCGTACTTTGGTAATTGGTACTACCGGTCATCATATTAATTTATTCATAATTATAGCTCCTATCTTAACCATTACTCATGCGGGTGTGTCAAAAATGTAATATTCAATTGCAACCATGTGTTCATGTAAGTCTACTCAACCGCCCGCTTTCGTCTACTCGTAAAAATTATTTCATCTGAATTAGTAGCGAAAAAATATTTATTAGAAAATGGCTTCATTACAAAATGACTTCAGTAAACTTGTTAACTGAGTAACGAAAGCAAATTAATTTAATCTGCATATAAAAACTGAGCAAGAAAATCTACTGTGGTTCACTTTCGTCCATTTTTAAACTAGTGATAATGATAAAAGAACCTGCAATGTTAATGGGCTTACTACGTAGCTTCCACCAAACAAAAAGTGAACGGGCCGTTAACTTTTTATTTCCACAAAATTAAATTTCGACAAAAGCATCGCGTACACTGTACAACAATGGAACACATGTACAGGAACAGTAATAACATATTAACACAGTTTAATCGTTGCTAGCCAGGACAAAAGCAGATATGAAAAAAATATTTAGAAAAAATTCAAGAACGGTGCACAATTTGCGCAACAGCTATTACTACTCCGTGTCAATAATACGGTTTTTACGATTAATAAATAATATATGGTAATGCTTTCACTAATAGTAATAACATTAAGCGCAGTAGCGCACTGGTATGAGTAGCGGTAAAGGTTTGAGTTATGATTATGAACAAAAATACGATAACCGGTAGGATCAAAGTATGATTATGATTATGAAAGCTGTTTTGAGTATGTATTCTGAATTAGGAATAGGATTATGAGTATGAGGACCGCTATGAGAATTTAGGTTTGGGAGCGCGCGACAGCGGAAGTTGCCGTAGATATAAACAAATCTGGTGCTATGTACCGGGCCAAATCCCTTAAGACCGCGAGATATTGAGGTATTCAGACATTTCTAGACATCCTTAAATTTCGAAACTCTGGAGGCTCAAAAAATTAGAGGTAACGGCCCCGCTGCGCGGGGCCGAGTCGAAATATTTAGACATATTAGAAATTCTGGAAATGTAAAAGCTTTGGAGCCGACTTTGGAAAAATTAATAGTTATTTTGAGGTATTCGAACATGATTTAAAATCATCTTGAAGGTTTCAAAAATTTAAAAAAAGTTATAATTTTTATGGGATTGACAATTTAAATAACATACACAGATCTGTTGTTTAGGTTGCTAAGCTGCGAAACTTGTATTTGCTCATTCGAGACGTTTCCAGAATTTACTGGAAATTTTTATGAACTTTAAACGCTAAGTACAGAAAGTTTGAAAGGGTTTCTGAAAACTTTCCGGAAACCAGCAATTTTTTTCCAAGCTGCAGGTAGGATGCTTTGGAAGATGCTTTATTTTATAAAATAAACAACTTAATGGAAAAATCAGTTTTGATTTAGGAGATAATTTCCAAAACTAGCAACCGTTAAGTACTAAGAACCCTTAAGTACTACAACTTTTAAAAATTTTTTTAAGACCTTATCCAAAACTTGAGATTTTTTTAAAGATAAAGGTAGGAACGTTTGTGCGATGCTTTATTTTATAAAATTATCAACTTATTGAAAAAATAATCTTGATTTAGGAGATAATTTCCAAAAAATAAGGACGTAAGGATATATGAATCTGTTGATATTATATATATAATATTATATATTATCAAGGAAATAGATCTATATTATGATCGGCCGCCCCGTGGAACTTGGCTAGAAAAAACCGCCAAGCAAATTGAAAAACCGATTTCACCATTAAACTCAGCATGTCCCAAAGGGTCCCACATGCATTTTGTTTTCAAAAATATCTGCCCTGGACCAACGCTCGGATGCCGATACCGGTACAGGCATCAGTTCAAGGTGACCTTGAAAGACCTTTTACATAAAACACTGTTGCGTGGAGCAGCTATTATTCAAATGCAGAGTATGTAGTGTAATAAAAAAACTGTAATTTTTTCAAATAAACTTCGAAAAATTTTTCAGCTTTGTCACGTTTCAACAAAACGCTCTAAAGCGAAGATATTTTCTTTTGATTTTTGGAACCGGAAAGCGCGTTTGCACTGGAACGTTTTAGCTTTTCCGCGTTCTTATACATTGTACATTGTTCTTATACATTACAAAAAAGTTAGATCTTCAATAAACAGAAAATTTAAAAATAACTTAAATACCAAAGACGTTGTAGATCTATATTATGATCGGTGTTCGGTGTAAAACGATCATAACACTCATATGTACTACGGTATACTCGCGCGTTTACATGCAAATTTGGGATAAGAATAATGGGATTCATAATGAGTCTTTTGAATGCCACGTGAATGCATTTGCCACGTGAATAAACATTTTAAAATTTTATTCCCCTTATATCTCATAAACAATTTTCACACAGATGTATAAAGTACAAACCATTTGGCCATAGGGTGATCGTTATGAAAGCTATGAAACGAAAGAAGTGTTTGAGGGTGCGAAAGCGATAGTTTGCGAACGTATTCCTATTTACCTGCATACAGAGGTAGTTCCTTTACATATTACCCATAGGTAGAAGGCGAAATCGGACTTCGTCCACTCGGTGGTAGTGAGAAAACTGGCAGTGTCTAACCATAGTTTGCAAATTGCAAGCGAAAGTTTACTGACCGTGAGTTTTCCTATGCAATGTTAAACTCACTAACCAGACCGGCATATGAGAACGGAACCCAACGGAACCCTTGCCCAGTACCCAGTGTTCGATGCTAACAAAGTTCTTGAGCTGCTGAATGAACAGAACCGCACAAAGGTTACGCTATCCACTAATAAGACGTACTGAGTAACAGGAGACATACTGACCGTCGATCAGGGCTGTAGAGTGAACGGAAGCTCAATTTTTAGGGAAGGGATATTATTTTAGTGTTAGTGGCTTAAACCAGAAAAGAGCAGAACCGTTATCATTGTCCAGCATAACTCTAATGCTCCAGCTGTCAAACGAACAGAACTGCGAAAAAGCTGGCATGTCTATCCACCGACCAAACCCCTACTAAATAAAGGGAACGGTCGCCATGGTCCAAAATCCCCAATTTACCACCGACCTTAATACCACCCCTTACCACAAACAGTGTGACCGCGAGGGCTAGTTTTTATTTTGTTGGTGGCTATTGCCAATAAACAAAAAATGTTAACTACCTAGCACCAGGTAGAACGACATCCCGTGTAAATGCAAACACCATTAGATGCTTGAAATCTCTGTCAAAAATTTTTTTGGAAACAGTTATCCGGAAACAATCGAAATTCAGAAAGAGCCAACCCGCAGGCCATACCGGTGTTTAGGTATCACTAATCAGGGCTGCTGCGTAAACGCAAATTACAGGACCCGTTATTGCTGTTACTAATGTTCGGTGGCTAGTAGCTACGACAACGTGATCTCTGTTGCTCGTTATCACTACACACTCCTTGCTCCCGACTGAATCAAAAATAAAAAAATAATCAAAAACTCAAAAATTCACACTACTGCATCTACTGACCAAGCCTACTGATTATTACTGAACAAAAGATATTATTGTCCTCAAACAAAATTGGTTTCCACGTACCAGTTATTAAAAAGTAGCGAAGCCGAATTATTAGAAACTTAGCAAGCTGACCGCTCTCCGATTATCAGTCGTGCTATTAACTATTTTGTTTCACATAAAATGAACCGATCAGCTATTAAGCTATATAATGCTGTTTCCTGATTAGAGCAAGTTAACTGAAGCTGTGAACAGCGCTTAATCATACAACGTAAAAACATACATACAAACCAGGCTTCAAAAATAAATTATCAAGAATTATTTTTCAAAGATTTGACTGTAGACCACAAGAGCATCTGAGGCGAAGCCGAAGATGACTCTTGTATATATATAATATTATATTATTATTAATATTATATATTTATATATATATATAATATTATATATTATACAAGTAGACTGCGGCCGACAGCGTGGCCTCGTAAGGGCGGGCCTCGTTATGCACCTCCGGTGCATACGATTGTCTGTAATACTGTTGACCGTCAGCAACTAACGAATTAGTTGTTTTCGTCTTTTCCTTTTGGATTTGTTAATTTAAATGGTCGCACACTTTTAGTCAGCAATTGACAGGCTCCAGGTAATTGTCAGGTAAAAACCTTGCTAGATATTTGAGGTATTGATAGAAAGTAAGCGGACCAGGAAGTGGGTGGGAAGGCACTTGTAATGTGATGTGGTTCTGAATAATCTAGGAATGCACTTCAAACTTCATGTTGACTGTATTATGGTTTCTTCGGTTTTTATCTTCAGTTTAACCAATGAACACAAATTTTAGACAAAAGGTAAACAAAAGAGCAAATAAACAAAACAACAAAATATTTTGAAAATTAAATTACATCATATTTTTGGCAG